CTTCCCCCCCCCTCTTCCTCCTTGACCTGACACTGGGAGCCCTGGGGCTCTCTAAGGTGAACCATTCCGTGTCTCATCAGGAGAGACTCAAGGTATCATTGAATTCATTGTTTTTAGCCTATACCCCCATTGTTTTGCTACCTTTTTTGTATTATCTTGTATTTTATATATAAAAATACTTAAATTTTCTGTCATTCACATTTAATTAAAATATTTTCAAGACCACAGCTGTTTCTAAAGTGACAGCAGGGTATACATCATTCCTTAATTTTACCCAAAAAGCTTCAGTTAGAATTTATTTTTCAATAAAAACTCTTGGTTTAAAAAGAAAAAAAAAAGGATTAAATCACTGCCCAACACGATGTGTAGCCTGTTTTTGTCCTGTGTTTATTCCAAAGAAATCTGGTACATTTAAACTACACAAAACAACAGATTTGCCTAAAACCCCAAATCTGTTTTCCTGAACTGGTTTTAATGATTCTAGAGGCATGCAATGGCCATTCATTCAGTCATCTCTCGTTTTTGTTTTTTTTATTGTTATTGTTTTTTTGAAAACACACGTGACCTCTTATAGCCTTTTGGTGCTTAATCAAGCGGGTTAAGGTCAACCAGATACAATTGGCTTTCAAAATGTTACAGAAACAGTGGAGGAGAGATGTTTCTTCCATAAGACAAGTTAAGTGAAATGTGCCTGTACACTGGGACAATGTGTGTTAATGTGTGTATTGTATTTGTTCTGTCTATAAGATACAGTATGTACAAGAAGATTAGCTTATTAGCTTAAACTCTGCCATAATTGTCATAATGTGGCTGTTGAACATGTTTTCTCCCCTCCCTTATTTGGGATGTAATTTTGTTGTCCTTACGCCATTAGTGATTGTACTTTAAGTGCACCTAGTGACGTTTGGAATTGGGGGACTCAACCCTGTGTTAGGTTCCAGTGTTACATTGTTTTTATCTTTGGCCTACAACATATGAATGTGAAAAAAAATACATTACAAAAACTGACGTGGACCAGATGTTCATATACATAACAGTAGTACAGTATGTGTGTATTTAACAGTAATCCTTTTGCAAAGCAGTCTCAGTACAGTAGATGTCGCAGTTGTTTTACCAGTAGAGGGCGGTATTAATAGAGCAGTTTTTTTTTTTTTTCCCCCTGACCATAAGCTTCTCAGGCGTGTGGCATATTATGCAGAATTCATAAAACACTAATAAAGATTTTTATTCTCATGATTCATGAGTCTGTATTTATTAACTGTATATATTGTACAATATCTCTGCTTTCTAAGCAGCAATGGAAGGTTATAGTGTACCTGCTGTACAAATTTGTGTGTAGTTGTTCCGAGTGTGTGTGTGGGGGGGTTACTTTTTACACCACTAACTTCAACTGTCAAAGTTAGTTCGCAGATTCAGATTTTTTTTTCTACAGAATGTGATTGTCCTATAAAATGATACATTTGTAAATACTTAAATTGCTTTAATAATTATATTTCAATATGCAGTATTATAAGAGGAGACAGTTTGAAAAATAGTTAATTATTTCTGAATGTTTTGCAGATAATGCTGATTGCTTAAATATGATCTGTGTGCTTTTATACTTTATTTCATTGTAGGTCTTTTCTTGAACTTCAAAAAAAGGTAGAAAAAGAAATCAACTGGACTTAGTTTTAGGTCAAAGACGTTTCATCTCTCATCCAAGAGGCATCATCAGTTCTGCCCGACTGGTGTTCTGTCGGAGATATTTATCCCCATCGGTGATGTTTCAGTCCTTTGATGTCCAACAATGTCCCCTAACGATTGAGTCGTTATAGCCCAGTATTGTCATTAACTGTTTTTGAACCCTCATTTGTGGACCGACGCCTGATTGTCCTGGTGGGCATGTTTGGGCAGAGATCTCAAAACCGGATTGTAGATGGATGACAAGTTAATTGGGGTGAGAGTAGAGGCTGCCAAGGATAGAGTTGGGTGGAAACAGATGATTCGCTGTGGCGACCCCAAACGGGAACAGCCGAAAGAAGAAGATGGAAGACAAGTTGTGTCTTAGTCCACCACCCCTATTTAGTGAGGGGTGTTCTATTTTTACAAAAATAGCTTCCTTAACTCCTCTCTCAAACCAGCGATGTTCTCTGGAGAGGATCTGGACTTCACTGTCCTCAAAAGAATGTCCTTTGTCCTTCAGGTGGAGGTGGACTGCTGGCAAAATGTCAATACAACAAGAAAATATCTGGACACTTCAGCAACACTAGAGATGCACAGAGTCTCTGGCGGGGCATCCAAACCCTGACAAGCTATAAACCCCCATCTCGGATTTACGATAGTGACATCTCTCTACTGAACAGCCTCAGTAAGGTTTCTGGTTTCTCCCTGTTGGTGTTGGGCCTCTTCCTTGCTTTGGTGAAGGCCCACTTAGGGTATCCACAAGCCCTAAGGGAGTTCTGGATGTGTAATTTCTCCTTCTTGGCCCCTTCTGCAGTTGTGGGCACCTCATCTGCCCTGTGATTTAGAGTTCTGACGACTCCCAGTTTTTTTCTTTCTTTCTACATTATTTCAGCTTACTATGACCTGGATGACTGTGAATCTGCACAGATTTCTTGAACTTTATTTATTTATTTATTTTTTGAATTAGCTAAATGTGTTTACATTTTGCTGATTGTACATTAATTCAGGTTTACTGTAGGCTAAGTATATTTTACATTTATAAAGCAACGGTACTTTACACAGAATCCTAGCCATTTCATATTTGCCAAACGCAAAATTAACGCTATACGATTTGTTCTTTCTCAGCCACCGTAGGCTACGTCAGAAGTAAATACTGTCAGCGAAGCTAAAGCTAGCTAATTGTAGAGACAACATGGCATTTACTTTGTACTCTCTCATTCAAGCAGCAGTACTTTGTGTCAATGCTGTCGCTGTGTTGCACGAAGAAAGATTTCTCAGTAAAAGTAAGTGACTGTTCTCAAAATTGCATGTACCCTTAGCTTTAGAAGTCGTTTGAAATTCGAAATTGGGTTAGCCTATAGGTTAGCTAACGTTAATGCTAACGTTAGCTTTCTTTCTTTCTTTCCCCCATCTGAAACAAAACTAAGATCTTAGCATTTGTGATTCATCGATGAAGATTGACATTTCTTAAAGTTGCTCTACCAGAACAACTAAAGTTGTGTGACATAAATGTTTACCACCATTTAAATCTAATGGGCATTTGTTGCAAAAGCTTTTAAAACGCCTCATTAACAAAAACCAATGTACAACATTGAGACAAGTTATTAACAAAAGATGAACCATTTAAATACTGGTATAACTATTTAAAAAAACTCTATAAAATGTCTAATTTAAAGAGCAATATCGAGAATATTTAATTTTCATTTCTTATAATTATCTATTTATCCATCCACCCATGTCTGGTCATGTTATCCATCTTTAGTTGGCTGGCGAGTGGACCACAGTATCGGAGGATTTGGTGATGAACCAGGCATCAAAGTGCAGCTAATGAACCTTATCCGCTCCGTGAGGACAGTCATGAGAGGTGGGTCTCTACTGTAACACACACACCATTTGTATAAGGGTGGGTGACACAAAATATATCTGATTGTACCATCAGCCATCAGACCAACACAAAAGGTTGTACGTGTGGCCGGAGGGGGCTTCCTCTGCTCTGAAGCACTGTTTTGACACTACAGACTGGGATATTTTCAAACCAGCATCCACTCACAACAATCATGGATGACAGGTGAGGTTCACAGACTCCTGAGGGCTCAGGATGCAGCCTTTAGGGCTGGCGACACCATAGGCCTAGCAACAGCAAGAGCCAACCTGTCCCGTGGAATCAGGGAGGCAAAATGCCAATATAGCAAGAAAGTATATGGACACTTTAGCAACACTAGAGATGCACAGAGTCTCTGGCGGGGCGTCCAAACCCTCACAGGCTATAAACCCCCACCTCAGAGCTGTGATAGTGACATCTCTCTACTGAACAGCCTCAGTAAGTTCTTTGGCCGCTTTGAAACACAGACCAACACACCAGCACAAAAGACCAACCCCTTCCCGGGCGAGCAGGCTGTGTGTCTGTCCGTAGCCAGTGTGAAGAAGACCCTCTCCAGGATTAACCCACGCAAGGCAGCTGGACCGGATAACATACCTGGTCATGTTTTAAAGGACTGTGCTGAGAAGCTCAAGGATGTCCTCAGGGACATCTTTAACATCTCCCTGAGCCAAGCAGTTGTTCCCACGTGTTTCAAAGCTGCCACCATAATTCCAGTTCCAAAGAAGCCCCACCCAACCAGTTACAATGACTATTGGCCTGTAGCACTGACTTCAGTTATTATGAAGTGCTTTG